CCGTTCTCAGCTTGTGACAGGCCCGCGCCAAGGGTTAACCATGCAGGGACAGCATGCACTGGCATGACGAGATGGCCCTCTTGGGCAGGTTTTGGAACTCAGCGATCCAAGCCTTTCAGGTTGAAGGAGAAAGCTGTTTTGGGGTGGGGAGCAGGATGGAGCCTGTCCCTCGCCCCCAGCTATGCAGGAGGAGCCAGCAGAACCTGCTCCTTCTGTTCTTTCGAGTGCACTTTCTACCCTGCGTTCTCCACCTGCCCAGGGCTCAGGCTCCTGTCATCCCCCGTGCGTCTTCCGTGTCTTTTCGTGTGAGCTCTTGGGTCTTCTACCACTGGTTCTTGCTGGTGGTGTGAGGTCGGAATCATCTTTCTGTTCCTAAAGCTGCTTTTAATCCACTTTTCCTTCTCTCTTCAGTTCTTACTTTTCCTTCTGCCTCTCCTGGTCTTCTCCCCTCTCCAGTCCAAACTGGCAATGACTACTAATCATGTTTGTTGCGATTATATAATGACAGCAATCACTCTTTTGCAGCAGATGCAGAATTAGCTGGAAACACAGGAAGTGAGAAAGGTGTCTTTATAAAGCTTATGCTAAGAGAATCAGCATGGGTCTTGTCGGGAGGACAGACCACTCAGGGCATTACCTGGAGCCAGGGAGCTCCCGATGACCATGAAATATTCCCAGATAAGATTCCGAGGTGCTGCAGTGGTAAAGCCACGGTGAAGGGTCATGACCCGGTGAGTCACGCTGTAGCCCGGTGTTGTCGGTGCAGAGTGAGGCCCTGGAGGTGCTGGAATTCACAAACATGTCCTTGGGGGCACAGCAAGCTCCATGTCCTGGGTCGTTGGGCTCAGAGGAGCCTGGATTGGAGCCGTGGAGAGGGAGCATGGGGAGCTCTTGTAGGTTCTGAACAAGTGCCCCGAGCCTGCAGTCCAGGGGTCTAAAGGGGGGCATTTGGAGCAAGTGGGAGAATTCCAGGGTCAGCGATCCCCCTTCCCTACCCATGTGCAGCCCTGCAGGAACTGCCATCCCTGCGGTGGGGACCCTGAAGGTGGGTGATTTCCTGGGGCAGTTCCGGCCTAGTCAGAGCCAGGCCTCAGAGTGCTATGGAGATGCTGAGTGTTCCAATTCTCACCCCTGAGCCTACAAAAGGAAACAAAAGAAAAAGTCTTCGGCTGCACAGACGTGATCTGGGACTTGGGGAGCTCAGTTCTGGGAAGCAGTCAGGACTCCGGGAAAATGCTGAGGCCGAGAGGAGGAGAGGCTTGTACTTGTCCCAAGCCAGCAGCCCTGCCTCAGTCCTCGGAGGCTGCAGGAAACCCCCAGAGCCACAGTTACCTGGGGGAGCGACCTCGCCCCAAGGTGGGCACAGGCGAAGGGAGGCGCCCTAAGGTGGGCATGGCTGGGGTCCTATGATCCTGTTGGCTGGAAATGCAGGAGAGAGGAGCACAGACAGCTGCCGAGCACTGGGGGTGCTCACTGCAGAGCCCCGACTCTGGGGAAGACACCAGAAGCTGTGGGGATGCTCGTGGGCGGGGCCTTGGCAGGCTACAGGCCTAGAGGGGTGAGCGTCTGACACCTGCCGAGCTGGAGGCCTTCGAGGCTGCTCTTCTAAGAGGGGTAAGGACCCAGGAGACTGAGACAAGGAAGAGATGCAGGTTTGGTGCAGAGGACTGGGGTCTCCCAGTGTGAGGAGCCCTCTGGCCTGATGGGATGCTTCGGGCAAGGGCCTGCCCAACCAGTGCAGGAAGTGCCTGCATTCAGATCCCCTGTCCCTGAGCTGTCCCCATATGCACAGAGTGGTGCAGCACTCCCAGGCCCGAAGAAGTGAGTGCTGCCCAGGAGAGGCCCCAGGAGAGGCAGAGAGCCTGAGCCTAGAGGAACCGAGTCCCTGGGTAAAGCAGAGGGCTGGGGTGGGTGAGGGGCACAGCTCACCATGCAGTGGGCACTGCTGAACATCTGTGTGGCACGGATACGGGGACCGGGGAGGCTGGCTTATCTCTGGCCTTCTCCTTGTGGCTTTCTCTTGGAGTCCCCAAGGACAAGCCCACTGTGGGCTCGGTGTCACCTACAGTGCTTTTCCAGCCGCCGGTGATTCCCTCAGCTGGGGAAGGGAAGCTGTGTCCTGGAGGAGGAGGAACAGGAAGTGAGGACCGCCCCCTGCTGCCTGTGCTAATGGACTTGGAGGGGCAAGCGGGGGCTGGGAGACTGGCTGGACCGTCTCCCCATTCGTACTTTAACTCTTCCCCCCATTTACTCCGCAGATCACAGGCACCCAGGGGGCTCTTGGTGGGGTCCATGATTGAGATCTTTGGAAGTCCCCTCCTCAAATCTTAGGACGCTCCAGGCTGATGATCCGCATGGCCTGTGAGTCCCCCACAAGCAGCGGTGGCTTCTGATGTGGGCGGTGACACGAGGCCACGGGGGAGAACACAGTGTGGGCTCTGGCAGGACAGGTTCTTTGTTGCCGCACCGCCCCGGAGACCTGGAACTGGGCTGGGCAGCCGGCAGGTCACGCACTCGTCACCCGCGTCAGCTTCTCCTCCACTGAGGGGTGGAGGGTGGGGCCCAGGACCCGTTCTAGCCAGTGAGCAGCAAGCCCCTGAGGACCCTGCTGCTGAAGAGCCGTGTGAGGCCCTGCAGACTCCTCGCCCCGACCTCGGCGATGGGAGGACCTCACTGTGGAAAGTCACCTTCCACCTCGGGCCGCCAGAGATTCCCAAGAGCAAAGCCCTGCCAGCTTTGGACTCAGCGTGCACAAGACGAAAGCCTGCAGTGTGAAGCTGCTTACGACCACAGCCTAGCCCTGCACAGCCTGCCTGACAGGGTGCTGTGACCAAGGAGGGGCGTTAGGGGGCGTTTTCCCTCCACCACTGAATGTGGTCGTGAGAGAACCACTCAGAAGCAAGAGCACAAACAGGAGTGACCCTCAGCTATGCAGCTGGCGGAAAAGAGACTATGCATGCAGCTTATTAGGAAGGACTCCTGGCCTCACAGCTGTGGACGTGAGCAGAGGGAGGAGTCCAACCTCCATGGGCGCTGCAGCCACCCTGTGCCTGCAGGAGTAGCCCTGCGATAGAGGGGATTGTGCAGCTGCTGTGTGCGGGCTGGTTTTACAGCCCTGTGCTCATGGATCGTTAGATGTGGTGCCCGTAGCAGGTGTGGCTTTGGGCCTGGTGCCTGCCTTGAGCTCAATCAACCCCCCAAAGAGACTAAGGCATTGGGATCTGGGTCCAGGGCGCTCTCACGGCGGACGTGGAACAGTCAGATGGGCAGCCTTGGGCACTGGCTGCATATTGGAAAGTGGACGTCCATCTCCCCAGGGGCAGACTTCAGAGAACAACTGTTGCTCCTGGGGACTTAGCAACTCACACTGCGAGTGTGCCGGGGCCGGGGACTCCCTGTGCAGGTGTACACAGGCCTCAGCGCACACTTTTGTCCTCTCCAAGGAGAGCTCCCGATGGCTCTGTCACACGCATACACCGAGGTGTGGCACTCAGTCGGATGCCACGATGAGCTCGCAGGGCCTGGTTGCCTCTCCCCAGTGGGGGACCCACCCAATGAAGCATCAGGGACCTGCAGACTCTGTCCTCACTTCTAAATCTGCCAATTTTGTATCACACACACAAGCACACTCTGCAGTGCATGCTTAGTGCACCCTGCAGAACTACAAATGCCGTGATTATATTAAAATTCATTAATCTTAGTGATGTTACTGACTTTCTCCTGCTAGTTACCCCAAGGCTGGAGAACAGTGACTTTCATAATGAAACTGCTGTGACCTGGGAGACCAGCAGATCTGCACTGCATGAAACACCAAACACCTCCGAGGTCTAGGCTAGGAGGCAGAGGAAGACACCCCCAACCCAGCCTGGAATCTGCCAGGGACCCCTGTGAACCCCAAAGCGTGGGGGCAGAGGGCAGATGAAGCTGCATGGCAAGGACCCAGCCTCTCCTTCAGCCAGATCCTTGTGACAAGAAGAAAAAAGCATCCACGTCTTTGACGTCCCCGAGACACCTCAAGACAAGGTGGCCACGCACCATTGAAGGCTGTCTTCCAGGGGTCCCCCAGGGTTCCCATCCTGAGACACCGCAAACTATCAGCACAGGAGGCTGGGTGCTGTCCTGGAGTTGCCGGACCGAGTTCTGCAGCTCCAGCAGCTTGCCGGCTCCAGGGACAGGTGCTGGCCCAGCAGCCACACTCTGAGCTCTGTGATCTGGAACAAGTGCAGACACTGACTTAAAAAGTGGGGAGGAGAAAGAACAAGGGAGGCAGCTTTTAAATCTACTTAAAAGGCCTCTGGGCTGGGCACGGTGGTGGATCCCTGCAATCCCAGAACCCTGGCAGGCTAAAGCTGGAGGACTGAAAAGTTGGGAGCCCAGCTGGGCAACTTAGCAACACCCTGTCTTAAAATAAAAAATAAAAAGAGCTGGTGATGGAGCTCAGTGAAAAAGTCATAGTTTCAAATCCCTGTACACCCCACAAAAGCCTTTAAAGTTACTTTTTATATTAAGTTGCTTTAAGAACATTTCAACTACCACACCGCAAACACTATCCCACGGAAACCAGGAGTGAAAAAACCTTGTGATTTTTAACTATTCTCCAAGAGCTTACCTTAAAAAATGCATTAATATTAAAACATCTCAGGTTCTAAAACCAGCATTTGCAATGTGTGTATCTGCTAAAGTTTATGCAGAATAAAACAAAATCTATATACACGCTTTCCAAAAGGACTCATTTTCATGAAAGGCACTTGGCTCGGTGACGATGGACTTTTAACACTTGGGTGCACTTGGGAGCAGAAAAGTAAATCCTGCAAGCCGAGCGGGAGCCACGCCGCCAAGAAGGCCGCGGTGGGTGGGTACCGGCCGCGGGAGAAGCAGCAACTGCTTCCAGCCAGGTAGGGCACCACATTGGGGATTCCTCCCTTACGTTTCAGGATAACATCCTGCAATTCTTGGATTCTCTTCCCTAAACCAAATAAAGAAGCAGCGGCATTCGCATCTCTGGAGGAAAATGTCTGTATTAAAAGCCAAAAACCCACAGAAGTACAAGAAGAAACGCCCACCAGGTCACGTGACTGGGTAGATCGCCTGGGAAAAGGCTCAGAAAGTTCGTTTTCAGCGGTAAATACTGGTGCTCACTGGTTCCCACGCCTCCCCTCTTAAATTTAAAAACAGCGAACCTCAAATACAACGATGTTCAGATACAAAGAGCTTCTATTAACTACAGTGAAAGCAATTCAATATTTTTGTATTTTGCTTTTTTTTTTTTTTTTTACTAAAACGTTCATTTAAAACAGTTATTAAATATATAAAACAAATACACAGGGTCTGGTCGTTTTCTGCCACGAGTCGAGGGCAGGAGGGCTCCGGGAGGGCGGCGGGCGGGGAGGGAGGTGGAGGGAAGGGGCCCCATCTCCTGCCGTCACCCGAGCCACGGGTCCCACGCTTCAGTCCGTGGGCTGCGTGGGCGCACACACGGGGCCACGCGGGCGGGCCCCAGGGGACAGGACGCACGGACCAAGCACGAAGCACACCTGCGAGCAGTGTCCGGGGCGCGGCGCTCACTTGGCGGCCGCCCCCGAGGCGGCGGCGGCCGTGGTCCCCGCGGGCACGGGGGCGGCGGGGAGCGCGCCCGCGGCGGTCCGGCGCTGCTCCATGCCGTTGGGCAGAAAGCCGGCGATGATGGGCACCGGCCAGATGAGGGCGGCCACGCTCCACACGACGATGACCAGGGTCATGAAGCAGGCCACCAGCGTGGACTCGATGGGCTTGCGGTTCAGCCGCCAGCCCGGCTCGCCCTGCAGCTCCTCCAGGCTGAAGTCCAGGCAGCAGAAGTGGCGCGGCTCGCCCTGCAGCCAGAGGGGCGCCGGCGCGTCGGCAGCGGGGTAGGAGGGCAGCGCGGGGGGCGCCCCAGGGGGTGGCGCGGGGGCCCGGGCGCGGCGGCCGCGCACCCAGCCGCAGCCCACGCACAGGCGCAGGTCCTGCTGCGCGCCGCCCGCCGCCAGCCCCAGGTGCTCGATGAGCAGCGGCGACCCCACGCGGTGGAAGGCGGCGGCGAAGAGCGCGCGGCCGTGCGCGTTGGTGGAGAAGAGCAGCAGGTCGCACTGCCAGCCGCGCGGACGGCCCCAGCGCACGAGCAGCGAGCTCAGCATGGGCCGCTGCACGCTGATGTTGCAGGCGGGCGCCACCGTGTCGTCCTCGGCCCCGGGCCCCGCGCGCTCGGGCGGCTCCGAGGCCGGCATGCGGGGCGTGGAGGTGGCGCCGGCCGAGGCGTTGGGGGGCGCCCCGAGCAGGCCCGGGGGCAGCGGGCAGGCGGCGGCCAGGAGCGCGGCGAGCAGGGGCAGCATGGCCTGCGGCGGGCTACGCAATCGGGGCGGGCGGAGGCTGCATGGCGTGGGGCGAAGGCGCGGAGGAGGACGAGGACCCCGCTCGGTCCCCGCGCCGCCCGGACCGCCGCGCTCTGTGCGTCCGCGCTTGCGGCTCGCCAGCTCGCGGGCGGGATTCCCCGGCGCGGCTCCGCCCCGCGCGCCCCGCCCCGGCTCGCCCCGCCCTGCTCGGGGCGCGGGGACCCGGGCTGGGAGGCGGGGACCCGGCCGGGCGCTCTGCGGGGGTTCCCTGGGTCGAGCCTAAAGGAGCTGGCGATGTCCAGCCTAGAGCTACCCGGACCCTCGGGTCTAGAGAAGGGGAAACTGAGGCCGGGGTGGGGGCAAGGCTGCTCCCCCAGCCAGGCAGAATCTGCGCCACTGGCTTTGTGCCTTTCTGCCACGTCGCTTACAGCCTCGAATCTGGCTGGTTTTTAATGTGTCCGCAACACAAAGGATCGGCTGGGTATTCTCCCCACAAGCCCCAAGTATTTACGGAGTTATGGGAGGGGAGTGGCCGCGGGAACGCGAGCCCCGGAGCGCTGCCGCGCTGGGGCCCCGACTGAGCCCCCATTCGAGGCTGACCGTGCCTCCTGGTACGACCCCGGCCCAACCGTCCTGGGAGCGCGGATTTTTGGGGGATTCTAACGCCAGAATCCATGGATGGTAGCAGCCCCCTGGAATATTGTGCAGGGGGAGTTGCAAAGGTCGCGTATCAGGATCAAACTTACATTCAGAAGCTCTTTCCAGTCGGGCGGGCGTGGCGTCGCAGGCCTACAATCTCAGGACTCTGGGAGGCTGAGGCAGGAGGATTGCGAATGCGAGCCCATCCTGGGCAACTTAGTGTCCTAGTAAGATCCTGTCTCAAAATAAAAAGGGCTGAGGACCTAGCTCAGTACAAAGCTATGGATTCAATTTCCAGTACCAGAAAACGGAGGGGGCCTCTTCCTGGTAATTTGACCCCTGCCCTGAAAACAAACCTGCTGACCCCACGGTAAGGGGGTGTCCCTGTGGGTTGGTGCCATTGTGCCCCTCGTGTTGCCAGGGAAAGGGTGGGGCAGAAACAGACCGTCCCAGCCTCCTTGGACCCAGGCTAAGCTTCCGGAAGGTCCGAAAAGAACAGAAGCAGGGACTGAGTACATTTCTGGAAGCTTTTGTCCATTGTTTGGCAGCAGTGAGTAAACCAAGGCTGGGTAAACTGTAAAAACAGCCTGGAAATGCAGCTCCGCAGCGGCCCCCCCTCAGCCCGGTCCTCACTTGGCCTTGGTTTCCTCAGTGTGAGGGGCGAAGAGGGTGGTCCCTGCCCTGCCAGGCGCTGTGGACAAGAGTGCTTGGAACCCGGTGTCTTCCTTCTGTCCCCGGAGGTGCTCACTCTGCCCAGCCTTGGTTTGTCCTCTGGAATGACCCTGAGTGACAGGGACCACCCCTGTCATTTATGTCGCGTGTGCTGCGTGGAGGTGCTGCCGGAGAGCACCATGGGAATTCTCGGGCTTTTAGGACAAATTCCTTCTCCTCTAGGCCTTGCCTTTTACTCTGCTGTGGATGTGGCAGGATTGTTTCAACGTGAGCCCTGTGGCTGTGACTGTGTGAACAGGTCTGAGGGAGGCCTAGTCTTCAAAGGGTGGGACCGTGACAGAGGTGGGGCTGCGTGTGCTCTCTCTGTGCAGCGGGGTGAGCACCCCAAGGGCCAGGGCAGGTCTGTGTGAGAGCCCAGCTGTCCCCACCCTGTGGAGCCTGTGTTTCTGCCACCTGTGTTCTGCCCGCTCCCCAGACCGCGCCCCAAGGACCTGGCCCCCTCATGCTGGCTCAGAGAGTAATTATCACATAGGTGATTGCACAGCTCCAGATTCCCAGAGGAACATGCTGGCTTTTCAGACAGTGGGAATTAGGACAGCAGAAAACAAGTGAATTACTGTCTGCCTCTCGGCCCGGATCCCCACAACAGCAGAGTCCAGAGCAAAGCTTGTCCACCTCAAGTTGCATCGCCTTTCTCAGTGTTGCTGCTTTGTGCTTCCTTGCAGCTCAGTAGGGCTCTGGAGGGCCGGCCAGGGAAGGGGCACACGCTGCCCACTGGTTCAAGCTCTGCCGGCTGAGATCTGGTCAGCAGTTGTGGCCTTGATTACATCTCCTGCTACTCTCCCTTCCCTCTGCCCTCTCTGCTCCAGGCAGTCGGGCTTTGCTGGCTCCTGGACACACGGAGCTGATGTTTGTCTGTCTTCCTTGAGCTGCTCCTGTGCCAGCTCCCTAGAGGCCTTCCCTGACCATGGCTGTAGAGAGCGCCCGCTCTGCCCTCCTGAGCAGTGCTCTACGGCTTCCTAGTGCGGCCTCGTGGAGGGTGCAGGGCAATGCAGCCACCCAGCCGTTCCTCAGAACGCCAAGTACCCACAAGCAAGAGCCTTTCCCTTGCCCCAGACCCTGCAACATTTTTAAGATGCAGGGAAGGCTTTGATGAATCTCTGTGTGGTTTGTGGAAGAGGGACAGCAATTTGTCCACATGGATTGTATTGTTAGAGAACAATAATTGAGGACTTCAAAGAAAATAATTACTAATTATGCACAGTAATTCGTTCTCTGCATTTTCTATGTCCCTCCCTGGTATTAGCTAAATTTTCCTTATACTGCCAATTGCAGTAATAACTTTAAAAAAAAATGATCTCTCTGGGTTGTTTGAATTCCATTCATCCAGTGACCCCAGAGTGTCGCAGGTGCAGTCACTTGTTAGTTCTCTCTTATGTGGGCGGAATTGAGATATTATTACCACATTCTGTAGACTAGGGAACAAGCGAGAGCCATGAAAGAGCCATAAAAATAGGATGGAGAGGAGGGGGAGGAACCAGAGGTTCTGCTGTGTCAAAGTCTGGCGGAGGTTTGGTAGGTGTGCTGTGCACGTGGATGGGGACAGGACCAGGCCACGGGAGGAATGCTTTTCACACCAGCCTCCCTGAGAAAACCCACTTCTGGGGTGGGTTGGTCACAGCTGGATGGAAGAGCAGCTGGGTGTGAGTATCTGTAGGAAGCCAGCAGGGGAGGCCTGAAAGCCCTCAGGGTTTGGTCTCTTAGACCCTGGCTGTCTCTGGCCTCTGTTTCTGAGGAGCTTAGTTGCTCTCTGGTGTCTCTGCCACATCTCTGGGGTGCACGTGTTTATCCCTCCTGACCACTGTGGTCAGGAGCAGATTTGCCCCTGCAGGATTCTGGCAGCAGTGGCAGCCTGCAGGATTCATTTGGTGATTAATCCTGGACGCCATGGGCCAGGCTGCTGTTGCCAGCTGAAGTTGTCAGTTGGGCGTCGTTCTGTCTGGGGTGTTCCACATTTGCCTGTGGACACTGTGCGGAGGGTTGGTGGGGCCCTGCTCGTATTTCTTGTCATGCTTGGCATCCAGTCAGAGTTCAGCAAGGACCGTGGAGAAGATAAGGAGTCTTGGCTGACCTGGGGAGCAGAGCGGGCCCGAGAGAACCAGAGGGAGGAGGGTGGCGCCCAGGGGAGCAGCTGGGGAAGATCGAGAAGGAGAGCGAAACTCCTGGGCCCTCTGGCTTGGCCTGGTGGTGGCACCTTCACCAGATCAAAGCTGCCCCTTGGCCCACACTCACTGTGTGCCAGGCACTGGGCCAAGCACTTGACATTCATCCTCACTGGAGTTCATGAAGAAATGACCATGGCCATTTTGCAGATAGAATAAACTGAGTCCTGGAGGAAGTAAGCTCGCACAGTAATACAACAGTGGAACCAAGGTTCAAACCATATGCCCTTCCAGGCCAACCCCCAGTGGTCCCCCTCTTCCAACCTGGCGCCACCTCCTAACAGCACATTTAGCTATGGATTCATCCATGGATCAATCCACTGATGAGTACAGTGCCCCTGGAATCCAATCACCTTCCAAAAGCCCCACTTCTGTATATGAGACTTTGGGGGGACATTTTGTATCTAAACCATAACATTCTGTCCCTGGCCCTCCAAAAGGCTCATGTCCATCTCATTATACAAAATGCATGTCTTCCCTCTTAAGAGTTGCCAGTGTCATAACAGTAGCAGCATTGCCAAAAAGTCCGAGCCCAAAGTCTCTTCTGAGACTCCAGGCAAACTCTTGGCTTGAGCCCATGCAAAAGTCCAAAAGAAAGTTAACTACTACTGACATACAATGGTATAGGGTGAACATTCCCATTCCCAAAGAGAAGAATATGATAATAAACAGGAAGTGGACCAAAGGAGGACTGAAACCCAGGAGGACAAACATTAAATCTGGAGCTCTGTGTCCAGTACCTGCCTGGTTGTTGTGTGATGTGAATGCTAAAGGGGTTGTACAGCCCAGTCCCTATGGCCTTGCCATTTGAAGTCCATGTGGCCTCTCTTGGGCTGGCTCCACTCACTGCCTGTGGCTTTCCTTGGCAAATGCTTCATGTTTCTGGTGTCTCCAACTTCCTGGGGTCTCCAGTGTACCTTTGGCTTCACTCTCATAGCTTCACACACTGCCCTCTCAGGGGCACACTGCCTGGCCTCCTAAGCCTTTCTTTGACATTTGGGTAGAAGCCTCCTTGACCCACAACTCTTGCATTCTGCATGTCTATACAATTAGCACCATATGGATGACACTGAGGTCTGCTGCCAGCATGAGCAATAGCTGGGCCCCCTTGGCCCATGGCTGCAGAGGCCTCAGAGTATCTGTAGGCTGAACTCAGAAAAACACTTCTCTATGTGTTCCCTAGTAAGATGCCTTTAAGCTGTCTTCTCAAAGCAAAGTCTCTCAAAAGAGTTTACCTTTTTGCCTTCTTGAGGCTTGGATGAGTGAGGTCTGGCCATTTGCTGAGATGCCCTCAAGACATCTTTCCTATTGTCCTGATGTGAGGTTCTTTTTAATGGTAATCTTTTCAGCAACCAAACTCTCCTGGGCTTCAACTTTAAAGTGGTTCCTTTCTGGCCAAGCTGTATGATCTTCTTAGGCTCCACTTTTTTTTAAACCTTCCAATTCTCATTGTAAATCTGGCTAAAAGCAGTCATGCTACAGTTCATGCTACAGCCTGAACATTGGGCTGCCTTGAAATTCCCTCCACTGCATCAATTAGTCCACTATCCTTAATCTCAGTCTTGCAAAGTCTGAGGACATGGGCAAAACACAGACAAACATTCTACCATGCAGGGGACCATAATATTG